TGTGATTGGCAGAATCAATATCTGCCCAGGTGCACGATCGCTTAAACGATCTGTGATATCGCTTAAGTGATCCTATTTGAAAAACCCTTTGTCGCTTAAGCGATATACTTAGTCGCTTAAGCAATCATGGGCAATATATACTTTTCCAGCCTTTCTCCTGAATTTTGACAAACTAAAATTACCAACACGTATTAATTCCATACTTTCTCCTCAATTTGACAACCTAATTCAAAACTAAAATCAACAACAAATATTTAGGCCATGTAACAAGAAATATAAAGAATGATTTATTAAAGGTAACAATAAAATTTAAAACATCAATAATTGAAAATAATAACTCATCAATGGTTGGCCTTCGCAACTCCCTAAATTTCATCCTTCTTCGAACCTAATTTTCTGGATCTGCATGTGATTACTTCTGGTAACTGCTTCTCTTGTGGCCAGATTGCTTGCAAATTGAGCACTTATTCATCTTCCGGGGAACCTCAGAGGCAGATGGAATACGCTTAACTCTTTTTCTCCCATTTACTGTCTTCTTGAATGGCAGATGGATGATAATGTCAGCCAACTCTAGCGACCCTACCTACTGCTCTTCTGGAGGCACTGGATATATTGTTTATGAATAAGCTAGCATGTAGTGATCTGCCACATAGAGAGGGGAGCAAAGTTCCATGTAAATTCTTGAACCAAAATCCGGCTTTCGTTGGTGTTTCAGTGCTGCTAGTGCATGAGGACAAGGTAAACGTTGAATGTCAAGCACTTTACAGCTGCAAGCTGTTAACTGGGGCATCCGGACCACAGTCTCGCACAGTAAACTCTTGAGCATTAGGAGGATAGGCAAACAGTGCATTTGACAGTTCCATACGTTCTCGCAATAATTTTTTAGCTGACAGAACAAGGGTTGTAGTAAAATTATCTGACTCCATACGACGCTCATGGAACTACTGTGACAATGTCCTCTGGATTGTATAAAAAGTACAACTATTGGAAACTCTCTTTCTATTAACAACTTCGAATTTATGGACTCCGCTATATTCTTGGTCATGACATCAAACCTTCTTCCAGGAAAGTAAGCTCTACTCCATCGCTTGAAACCAACATCATGCTCAAGATACTTAGCAACTCTATCATCTTTGATTCGGATTTGCTAGAAGTGCTCCTCGAACTCATCAACCCGATAAGCTTTTGTTGCCATGTAGTATGTCTAAAAGAGGCCAGCACACTTAGACTTTTGTTTTATGTTCTCACCAAGATGCCTTATATAGAATCCATGATGTGTTTGGCGGTAAATAGTGGCAATCCCCTTTTTTATATAGTTATGCCTATCGGATATTATGCACAACTCATCATTGTCAGACACTATCGTACGTAATTGTTGAAGAAACCAAGTCCACGACTCGTCATTCTCAGAGTCAACCATACACCATGCAACAGGATATGTGTGATTCTCGCTGTCCTGTGTAATGGCCACCAACAATGTACCTCCATACTTTCCCATCAGAAAGCAACCATCAACAGCCAACACCTTTCTCATGTTTACAAAACCCTTTATAGCAGAACCGTAAGCAACAAAAAAATATCTAAACATCATATTCCTGTCCCACTTCAAAGCCGTCTTACTACCTTGGTTTGTCAACTCAAGCATATAACGGTACGCTTCTAATACTGCGTACCCGTGCGTTGACGTGCCTCTCACAAAATCTTGTGCATGGTGTCTCCCTTTCTAGCATTTTAGTAACTAATAGCACATCCCAACTCTGTGCACACAAGTCTCTGAATGTCTTTAGGAGATGGACCTTTCCCTTCAACGAACCGACTTTTGACAAATTGTCCAATAACATCAGCGGACGCTTATCGATGCTCACCTGAAATATGTCCCAAACCACATGTGTGCTCACGGGTATATGTGCTAAGAATAAATTTTTCTGACTCCCCCAACCTTCTACAATAAACCCACCACCTCCACTTTCAGTCACGACATACAACCGTCACAGCTAATGAATTTGACTTTTTGGTGATGAACTCGAAATTACCTCTCACGGCAACAAGTTTTAGCTTCCTCACCACTTCCTCTTTGTTGTCAAATAAATACCCTATGCGCAACTCTGATCCATCCTTAAAAACATGAGCTGATTCACTACTACCTCCAGTTGCCCCCTCTGAACCTGCATAAACGACCATAGTGTTCTCTTCCTCACAATCTACGACTTCTGCATAATCTGTATTTAAAGGAATCTCTACATATGTGGGAACATCTACAAGGTCCTCTTCCTCAACATTTTCATTCTGGCCCCCATCACTAACCTCTTCTACAGTGTCCTCCTCACCACCTTATTCACCATCTACTCTTGAATTTTCAACTAACAAATCAATGGCCTCGTAGTTCAAATTAAAACCAGACTAATCTCTGCCTACTTCCTCGTTATCCCCTTCCTTTGAACCAACTTCCAACGGTTTTTCTACAAAAGAAACCCTTAAAATCGGCCTCGAACCATTATCGACCACATCAATCATTTATAACTTCACACTTTCATCCGACTTTAATATAGCTGGAGGTACCTTATAATGTTCAGGAACTCTGCTTAAAACATACTTCACAACTATATCACTACGCGAGCAACTCAAATTGCCTCTTCTAATTATTTCATCAATCAACTCATCAAAACTAACCTCTGTGCTCACAGCAATTGGTATAACTTCTTTGCTCTTCCCAATCCACTTTCAACTACTTTCTTCCTCCACCCACTCACCAAAATATTCAACACCCAAAACAACTTGTCTCATGTGTAATAATAGCCAACTACCTGTAATGCAAGAAAAAAAATATATTCTTAAATGCTGTACTAAGGGTTCAAATATTTTAAAAAGAATCTGCACAGTCGCTTATATAGTCTGGTGTATCGCTTAAGCGATCATGGTTATTTATACTGGATCACTTAAGCGATACACTTGATCGCTTAAACAATCCAGTATAAATAACCATGATCGCTTAAGCCATCTTATGCCATTTACTGATCGCTTAAGCGATCTGCTCCTATACACCAGACTTTTAGCAGATCGCTTAAGCGATCTTATGCCACATACCTGATATTACCAGACGTACCAGATCGCTTAAGCGATCCATCATACCTAGAACACATTTTCAGTTATCTCCATCTACAATCGATCCATCATACCAAGAACACATACCCAGAACAAATTTTCAACATATTTTACTCCTTTCAACTTCTATTACATCAAACATAGCCCAACAACCTAAGCAACTAAATCAAATCATAACCCAAACCCAATCCATGCTAAATCAAAATCATAACCCAGATCTTTGTAAATCGAAATATGAAATCGAAAGGGAGATACACATACCTGGACGAAATGTCAGGAGGAGGAGGAGGAGAGGAAGGATCTATGTTGGAGAAGATGTTAATGGCGAAGGAATGCGTTAACGTGGCGGGAGGAAGAAGAAGAAGGTGTTTGGGTTTATTTGCAAGAATTTCAACTCTTTGGGGACATATTATAATTTTTAAAAGATTACAAAATTACTCATTAATCCTAATTAACCCCTAATCATATTTAATCAAGCTTAATAAAAAATAAGGCTATTTAGTTGACATTTACAAACTACATAGCCTTTTAATTAAATTTTAACTCCAAATGTCTTTTTAATAAACTGCCCCATATAACTCATAGGCTATATCTATACATTAAAGTCTTAAGTAATATAACATATGGGCTATAGCTATACACTAAAGTCTAAATGACGTAGAACGTCTAACAGATGAATTCTTGGAGAGAGCCGAGTGTCAAAAGCCAAAACATGGGTGTGCCAACTTAAAACAATTATAACTTTTGATCCGGGAGGAGTTGCCTATAAGATATCAACGAAAAACTCGTTTTAGTCCGACGACATGGAACGTGGTTTCCCGATTAGAGGTCGTTTTCGAGACCAAAATCCACTGTTTGGCTTGTTTCAAGCCGTTTAAAAGTTTTCCGCACATTTTTCCTATTTTCTTATTTTATAATTAGTCAACAATGAGAAATTCCTTTTAAATTAATTTTTGAGTTTAATTATGATTTTATTTTCTTGTTTAGTTAGGAATTTTGTTAGGATTGAATGTCACCACCCTATATAAACATATTTTTCATTTTTTGTAGATATAGAAGGATTTTCAGATTTTCCTTCAAACTTTAGGAATTAAGTTTATATGATTAAGACTTGTTCATCAACCTTAAAGACATAATCAGGTAATAGTCTTGTTTCTACGCTAACTCACTGTGCCACTACACCTAAAACCAAAGCAATCGGCTTCAATTTAAACTCTGAATTGTAAAGGATTTTATCAAATCTATTCATTATTCTTTATGCGAGGCTTGAATTTATTCATTAATTATTTATTATTGTTAACCATGAAAACTTGGCTGATTTTAGGATTTGTTTGCGTTATAATTCTTATTGATTATATATTTACAAAGTATATATATGTCACAGAAAATTATGATATTTAGGAATTAGTTAGGATATTTAGCTAAGTAGAAGGGAAGTTCAATCGAAAAAGAAGATAGCTAGCAAGTAAAAATGAAATTAAGAATAGCACCACCAAGAGTGGGAATTGATAAGACCATTTTAGAAAAATGTAAAGCTTGGTGTCATTATCCATCTTCCATTCCACCATTTTTTATTAAACGCCTAGTTGCAGGTTATTTAAAGGTAACTTTGGCTAAAAGTTATTGCTTGGAATTGGGAGTTTTGGGATTTTAATTTGTAAGTTCGTCGAGATAAGTGATATCAGAGTTTGAGGAGTGTTGTATACTCCTTCCTTAATTGATAAAAGATCATGTTGAGGAGTTTTGGGATTTGTTTTCAAAATAATTTGGGACATTATAATTCATCATCAACCAATATTATCCAAATGTTGACTTGGTTCATTTGTGTGATACTCAAGCTACCTTATTCTACTAAGTAAAAAAGTCTACTGCATTTTGCCTATATAAAGAACTCTCTGTCACACAAAATATTCACTCTACTCCATTAATCTTAAACTTGCAAATATAGAAACTTAAGAAGATGGCAGCTTTAGTAGTTGAGGGAGACAGATATCGTTCTCTCCTACATGGAGAAGAAGAGAAGAATACCAAATGGAGATTTGGTACCCTTCCTAACTACAATACTGTCAACAAACTCTTTGAAGAAGGCAGAACTAAGGTCTCTTTTACGTTCTCTTTCATATAAATTCTATATATGTTTATATTTATTCTCTACTTTAAATATTTTTGATTTTTTATTACTATAGAGATCACCAATCTAACTTGTTTATATATTCTGCACGGAAGGTATGGCCTGCTGGATCACTTGAAGAAAAGGTGCAGAACCTTGCCAAGTCATGGGAAATGGAAATGATCCATAAGACTCGTATTGAAGACTTCAAGACAATTGATACAAACAAGTTTACTTTCAGCCTCAATGGTATATATAATTATTTACACCAAATAATAAACACTTAAGCAACAATTCAAAAATGAATTAGTTTTTGCCATGTACTTAAGTATCTATATAATATGTGAACATGTACATGTTGATCATGATTTACAGGAAGGAAAGCTCAAACTATTGAAGAAATAAGTAAGCTTGATGGAGGGTATGGCCTAAATTGGCAAACTTCCCTGCCAAAGGAGTTAAGGGTGTACAACCCAATTGATGATGAAACTGCAGCTTCATATATGAAGACTTTCTCAACAACATTCCCAAGAGGATTTGCTATGGAGGTTCTCCAAGTTTATAGTGGCCCTCCAGTTATTGCTTACAAGTTCAGGCACTGGGGTTTCATGGACGGTCCTTTTAGAGGGCATGCCGCTACTGGGGAGATGGTAGAGCTCTTTGGCATGGCCATGTTTGAGGTATATTTATATCGTCTCTGCTAAAATTGACTATCGTAATTTAAGTTCTTCTTGTATAATATATATAATAATAATACTATAAGTTACTAAAAAAAATGTATTCTTTTTCAATGTGAAACAGGTGGATGAAGATATGAAAATTGTGAAGGTGGAGTTCTTTTACGATCGTGGAGAATTGCTTGCTGGTCTCCTCAAAGGTGCGAAAATAGATGGATCATATTCATCTAAAGAAGCAGCAGCACCCTTAAGCTGCCCTGTTCTCAGGAACAATTAATAATGGCTGGCTGATATTGCCATGCCAACTTTCATAGTACAAAAATAAATAAAGGAAATCTCAACTTAACTGTGCTCAAGGCATGTGTTAAAGTGAATTTTATGATCCACAATCTTACAAGAAGATACAATTTACAGTGGATGACGTGTTAAAAGCTGTAAAGTTTTATCCTTTTGTAAACTTGTGATACTACATAATTCCTTTAATATGTGTTTAGAGAACATATGTTAAGAGAACCTGTAAAATAATAAAATGTTTAATTAATCCTAATAAGATAAATAGAGAAAGGGAGTGACTATATAAATAATTGCGCTCATAGTGGGCACCTGGGTATGCAGTTTGAGAGATCCCTGTTCATCTGTAGTCAATATTCAACCTGTAGCAGCTAAGTGATTTGCCTTTAATTTTCTTTTATATTAAAATTGTCATGCAGCTGTTTTAATGTATAATTATGTGTATAATGAATTTAAGTTTAACTAATTTACATGTCATTCTGTCTTAATCTATGGGTGCTTCACTTCCAAATTCAAGGCTATCATATTCATCGTCACTTAAGCCCTCAAACAACCATGGCCTTAACCCTTAAACGGCAATATACAGTATATAGAAAACATTCTTATCAGATCTTTTAAAAATTTTAAATAATTATTTATACATTTAATTTAGTGTTACACTAAACAAATGATAGTATTAATTTAATCTGATCCAATTCTATTCAATTTACTCTAATCCAATATGAAAAAATTAATCTATCCTAAATAACGGATAGGGTTAAGTAATAAATTACTAAGTAAAGACAAACACTTTGAAAATGAACACTAAAAGTACTAATTTCAGTATTCCGAGTAATCCTCCTACTCTACCCACCATTTCTGTGAAACTCTTGGAAAGAAATTATTCGTTTTGGAGATCACAGATTCTGCCGGCACTCACCTCACATGGAATTGAAGTATTCGTGATTGGAGAAAGGATGTGTCCGTCGATGTTTATTCTTGAAAAATCAGACGATCTTGGACAGACAATCAAGAAACCAAATCCAGATTATTTTGCATGGAAGAAGATTGATCAGTTTTTGGTAAGTTGGCTCTACTCTACAATTTCAGAGTCAATTTTTCGTCATGTAGCTAAATGTGTTACTGCTTATGAGATTTGGAATACTCTTGAGTTACATTTTCAATCTGCCTCTAAAACTAGAACCCTACACCTCCGAAATTTGTCACAAACAACCAAGAAATATGCTAGCACTGTGAATGATTATGTGTTGCGAATGAAAGAACTAGGAGATGAGTTAATTGCTAGTGGTGTCAATTTAACTGATGAAGAGCTTCTGTTGTCTATGTTGGATGGCCTTGGGCCTGAATATGATGCGGTAGTGGCCAATTTAGGCTCAACCAGTAGTCAAACCACATTGCAGGAGGCACAATTTTTACTTCACAAACATGAAATTAGGTTAGAAAGACAACATACATCCTTTACCAATGTTCATGAGGCTCTTGTGGTTTCAAAACAAGGTCTGAATGAGTCCAATTCAGCACCTCAGGTTATTAAATCCTCACACATTTGATGTCACTAACTGCAGACCTTATACAGAAACCTCTCACTCACACTCACAGTCCCAACAATCCTTTCTCAATATTCCTCACTACACTCATTAGAATCATCTAGCTAGTTCACAACAAAATCAGTTTTCTAATACTAATTTGGGGTTTCCTAGACCTGAGTTTAGTCTCATGCAACACCCACAACAGTCAGCTCCAGGGGATGGTTTTATGCCATATAATCAGTATCAGGCTTATAATTCTCAGTTGGTACGTAGTAAAGGCAAAGGCAAACGTTATTTTAGACCAAGGCTGATTTGTCAAGTGTGTGGTAAAGGAGGACATTCAGCATTACAGTGTTACCACAGGTTTGATCATGAGTATCAGGGGTTTGTAAATTCTGGATCAGGATATAATACTGGAATTGGATATAGTACTGGAAGTTTTAATAATGCTAGACAAACTGGTCACAATGTTGGACAGTGTACTCGTTTTAGCAATACCAATAGTCCACAAACTTACTTCATTGATGCTCAATCCCATGAGTCACCACAAGCTCTCCTAGCAACTAAAGGTGTACCAAGTCAGTTTAATACTGTCCTATATAACTCAGTGGAGACAAATCCACCAATTAATTCTCAAGTTGGATACTCTGGAGGTTATGCTTTTATTCCACAAAGTGTCCCCAATTATGGGCATCTTCAACAGCCTCAGTATGGCCACTCTTCAGTCCCTGATGGAGAACAACAGCTTAATTCATCCTCTTTTTGCACAGCAATGGCTACTACTTAGACTGTGAAAGATTAGACATGGTATGTGCATTCTGGAGCCACAAACCACATGACTTCTAATCTAAAGAATATGGTGATCCAAGACAATTACCACGGTGGAGCTACTATTCCAGTGGGGAATGGTTAAACAGTTCCAGTTTCACACACAAGTGTGTCTTTTCTAAATTCAAACACTATCTCTAAAGTTTTATTTCTCAAGAATATGTTGTGTGTTCCTAACATTGCAAAGAATTTACTAAGCATATCTCAAATTACAAAAGACAATGGTGTGATTGTTGAATTTCATTCTGACCATTGTCTTGTAAAGGATAAGTGGACCAGTGAGATATTGCTTCAAAGATCCCTAAAGGATGGTCTCTATCAGTTGCAAGTTTCTTTGCCTACTGTTGGGCAATTTCTTTCTCTCCTGCCACTTCAATTTCTAGTTCAAATGGAATAAATTCTACTTTCAGCTCTACTATTGATACCTGTTGTTTAAATAAAACTTTTGTTTCCCAGAAATCTGATGTATCTCTTAGTTTGACAAAACTGTGGCATGCTCGATTAGGGCATCCACAAGTCAAAACTCTTAAGAATGTGATGAATAAAGTTCATGTAACTGGTGTTTTTGATAATAACATTTTCTGTGAATCATGCCAATTTGGCAAGTTGTCTCAAATCTCTTTTCCCAAGTCTGGTTCTATAACCAGCAAACCTCTTGAGTTAGTCTATTCTGATATGTGGGGTCCTTCACCTGTGAGCTCCTCTAAAGGCTTCAAATATTACATGTTGCTTGTAGATGATTATAATAGGCATATGTGGATATATCCCTTAAAATTCAAGTTGAAAGCCTTTCAAGTTTTTTCCTATTTTCATAAGTTTGCCGAGAAACAATTAGATACAAAGCTTAAGTTTTTGCAAACAGATTGGGGGGGGGGGGGGGGGGGGGGGGGAGAGAGTTTAGATCTTTTACTGGATATTTACAGGAGCATGGTATTGGTTTTAGGCATCCTTGCCCTTACCTACACCAACAAAATGGTAGGGTAGAATGGAGACACGAAATCATCACTGAGTTTGGTCTAACCTTATTGGCACATGCTGGTATGCCATTATGTCTCTGGTGGCAAGCCTTTAGTACAGCAGTTTTTATTGTAAACAGACTGCCTTCATTTGTCTTAGAGGATGTTCCACCTTATCAGAAGTTGTATAACAGGGAACCTGAGTATACTGCCTTGAAAGTGTTTGGATGTTGTTGTTATCCCTTTATAAGACCCTACCAAAAACATAACTTATCCTACCATACTGAGCAGTGTATTTTTCTTGGATATAGCTCAGCTCATAAAGGGTATAAGTGCCTCTCCTCTACAGGTAAAATTTACATAGTAAAGCAAGCTAAGTTCAATGAAGAGGAATTTCCTTACAAGACTGGTTTTAAGTGTTTTCTGTTTAAATATTTGGATAGTGCATAATCAAATCTCTATTCTAATATTGAAGGTTTACATTCATCCTGGGATTTATCTCACTGTTTGAACTCCAATATTAGAATGGGAATGAATTCTGATGCTAATGTTATAGATTCCTCTCGGTCCTGTCATGTTTCTGATGCTTTGCCTACAGCTCACACAACTACAAAAGTGTGTTCTGATTCACCAGTTTATTCTCCTGATGCAACAAACTTAGTTCAAGGTACCTTAGATTCTGGTTTAGCTAAAGGTTCATTAATAAGTAATCATACTTCAGATTCTGGTTTAGCTATATAAAGGTTCATTAGTGAGTAATCATACTTCAGATTCTGGTCTAGCTAAAGATTCATTGGTGAGTAATCATAATTCAGGTTGTGGTTTAGCTAAAGATTCATTGGTGAGTGATAATACTTCAGATTCTGGTTTAGCTAAAGGTTCATTAGTGAGTGATCAGGCTGCATCTTCTGGAATTCAGTTAGAAATAGTTCTTCCTATTCAACAGCACAAACCTATCACCAATAACCACCCAATGCTTACAAGATCAAAGTCTCAGTCTCAACATTCAATAGGACATGCTTATATTACAAATTTGTCTATTTTAGCAGAACCAAAAACTGCTGCAGAAGCAGTCATAATTCTTGAATGGAAAACGGCTATGAATGAGGAGTTTGATGCACTATTGAGGAACAAAACCTGGGAACTAGTACCCCTTACTTCATACATGAATGTAGTAGGCTATAAGTGGGTTTTTAAGACCAAATTGAAACCTGATGGCACCCTTCAAAAGTATAAGGCAAGGTTAGTTGCCAAGGGGTTTCAACAGACCCTTGGATTAGATTACTTTGACATGTTTTCACCAGTAATTAAACCAGTAACTATCAGAATCATGCTTTCTCTTGCTATCCATAACAATTGGGAAATTCAGCAAATAGACATCAATAACACATTTTTAAATGGAGAGCTTACAGAGACAGTGTTTATGATGCAACCTGAGGGTTTTGCTGATCAGCATTACCCTAAACATGTATGTAAACTACATAAGGGTCTCTATGGCCTCAAACAAGCCCCAAGGGCCTGGTTTGACAAATTAAAAACTGCTCTTATTGATTGGGGTTTTCAAGGCAGTGTTTCTGATACAAGTTTGTTCTTCTTTAGGGAAGGAACTAAGGTAATCTACCTATTGGTGTATGTAGATGATATTCTAATTACTGGGAATGATTCTATCTTGATTGATCAGATTGTTATAGACTTGAACAGTATGTTTGCTCTAAAAACTCTAGGTGCCCTTAACTATTTCTTGGGCTTTGAGGTTCATAGAAATGAAGAAGGCCTATTGCTTACTCAAGCCAAATATGCTCAGGACTTGTTGAGCAAAGCTGGTCTCTCTGATTGTAAACCCTGTTTCACTCCTATGGCCACGGGAACCAGACTCATGAAAGAAGACAGTGCCTTTTTTGATCAACCTTCTCTTTACAGGAGCCTTGTAGGAAGATTGCAGTATTTAAC